CTATGATGCATTAATGAACGTGTAGACGTACCCACTGAGCACCTAACAAGTGTGTGGATGACTCCAAGTTGGATAGGATTGTGGACACTCTGGAGGGCAAGGTTAGATTTAAGACTGACCTAGATAGGCTGGAGAAATGATCTGAAATCTCAGATGAGAGTCAACAATGACAAGTGCAAAGTCCCACACTTGGGATGGAATAACTACATGTGTAAATACAGACTGGGTGATGACTGGCTAGGCTGAAGCACTGAAGAAAAAGACCTGAGTTTTATGGTGGACAATGAGCTGAATATGAGCCAAGAGTGTACTCCTATGGAAACCACCCCCCGCAAAAAAACCCAGATGCACTGTGAGTTGTATTAACAGAAATTTCACATGCAAATCAATGGAAGTGATTCTTCTTCTCATGTCAGGGGACTCACTTAGAGCAGTTTTGGGCCCCCCACTTCAAAAAGTACATGGACAGTTTGGGGAGAGTCCAACACAGGGCAACAACAATGATCAGGCAACTGGAAGACAAGACTTATAAGGAAAGGCTGAAAGAACTAGGGTTACTTATTTTGGAGAAGGAAAGACTGAGAGGGGGATTTGATCTCTGTTGTCAAATATGTGTTGGGTGATTATAGAGAGAATGCATCTATACGGCACAAGACCAGAAGCAATGGACTCAAGCTGCAGATGGGGAAATTTAGGCTGAAGATTAAAAGGAACTTTCTGGCTATGCGGGTGGTCAGGCATTGGAACAGGCTGCCTAGAGGAGTTGTAGACTCCCCATCCTTGAACATTTTTCAAAAGTAGGTTAGACAGACTCTTGCCTGAGATGCTTTAGTCAGGGACGATCCTGCCTTCATCAGGGGACTGGACTGGATGACATTAGGTCACTTCCAGCCTTACTTTCCCATGATCCTGTGAGTGTAAGACTCTGCTCCCAGTTAAATTGATGCAATTCTGGAGTGGCTCTGCTAAAGTGAATGGGCCAAGTGTTAACCAGAGTAACTCACATATCACTATGATAGTTTACACCACAGATGGCCGACCTGCAGCACAGGTGTCACAAGCGGGTAGCCTCGGCATGTGGCAAACAGCACATCAGGGAGGGGACAGCACAGTGGCCAATAAAGTGGGAAGTGGAAAACAGAGGAGTGGATTGGGCAAGGAGAGGAAAGTCAGGGAAGGGGATCTGAGTGGCACTCAGGGAGGATATGGGGCTAATTTGTAGCCCACCTGCCCAAAAGTTTGGCCTCCACTGGTTTACACAAACTGAGGCTCTTTCCCAATGAGATGGCTGCAGAATTGTATCATTGTAGGTAACAGAATCTGGTCCTACGGACAGACTGAATAAAGTGCAACATCAGCTATTGCTTGTAAAGGCAGTGTCGATGCAATCAGACAACTATACAGCCATCATTTCCTACTGCAAAGCTGAGCCCAACACCTATCATTAGGCTGATATATAGCCCTGTTTCCTTAGCAAAGCAAAGACTGAGGGCAAAAACGATTGTAGCTGTCAGCATGAGCCAGGATGCATTTTGAAAGATTGACTACAGCAACCTTTCAACATCCTCCCCAGTGAAAGAGCACCAGAAAAGAGAAGGGGAAAAAGCAATGTTAGGGATGCCAAAAACATTAAACAAAGCAGCAGCTGGGAGAAAGAAATAAGGCGTCTTTCCCATTTTGTTTTGTACAATCAAGAAAAAACAGACCCTGTAACATCAAACCACAGAGAAGCTCAGGGCAAAAAAAGAGAGAGGGAGAGAGAGAGAAGTTAAACTGCAAATTCTGGTTAATCAAAGTTATTTAAGGGCTTGAGACAATGAAGGGAATTTTCACTGAAACCAACAGGAGTGTAAGGTGCTTAGTACCTATTAGCTCAGTATTTTGCAGAAATTTGGGTTACCAGCTCTGAATCTATTCCAGGAGGTTTCTGAACCATCAACATGGCCACGACACACAATGTGAATGTGCTTGTGTGTTTGCATATATGAGTTACGGCTTAGGGTATGTAGACTTTACATCAGGAAAGAAATGCACATTACTATTACACTAACGCTAGGAGTTTGGAGAATAAACAGGAGGAACTGGTCCTTCTGCTAAACAAAAACAACTATGAGCTCATAGGTATTGCAGAGACCTGGTGGGACTCCTCCTATGATTGGACTGTGCCAAAAAAAAGGGGTGGAGGTGTAGTTCTCTATGTGAAGGAGAGTTACACTTCCCTACAAGCTGAAACTGGCACCCAAGGAGGACAGCTGGAGACCTTTTGGGTTAGAATATAAGGGGAACATAGTGAAGGGGGTACAACGGTAGGAGTCTATTACAGACCTCCAAACCAGGAACAAATGCTTGACCAAGAATTCACCAGGGAACTGGCTGAGGCTGCACGCTCATGGGTGCATGATCCTCATGGGAGACTTCAACTACCCAGACATCTCATGGGATGAGCACTCAACCAAATCCGATCGGTCACAAAACTTCCTTACATGCGTGGATGAGCTGTACCTCTCCCAAGAAGTTTATGGGCCAACAAGAGGCAAGGCGCTGCTGGACCTGGTACTGGCCAAAGAGGATGATTTAATTAGCGACCTAAGAATCAAAGGGAAGCTGGGTGACAGCGACCATGAGTTGATCACTTCCACTATCCATCACAAAGCTCGCAAATCAGCCAACAATGAAGTAGCCTTTTACTTTAGGAAAGCTGACTTTTATAAGCCCTGAGAGGCCATGATTTCACAGGGAGGGAAGTTCATGATGGAGTGGTTGCTTCTTAAGGAAGCCATCCTAGAAGCACAAGAGGAATCCATCCCTACCTGTAGGAAAGGTAGCGAAAGGGCTCAACAACCCCCTTGGCTCAACAGGGAACTTGTGGACCTCCTACATCTGAAAAGAGAGGTGTATAATAGATGGAAGACAGGAAACACCACTAAGAAGAATACTGCCTTTGTCTGTACCTGCAGGGAGTGAACTAGAAAAGCCAAAGCTGCAACTGAACTCCATCTGGCTACACACATCAAGGACAATAAAAAGTCCTTCTTCAGATAAGTTGGGAGTTGAAAGAAAAACAAGGGCAACATTGGACTCCTGCTAAAACAGTTGGGGCAGCTGACTACTGACACCCAGGAGAAAGCCAATTTGCTTAATGATTATTTGAGTCAGTTTTTCACCAGCCCAAAGGGGCCACCCTGCCAAACATGATGCAGGATGACCAGAGTGAAGATGAATGTCCATTGGGGTGGATCTTGTGAGGAAGCATCTTCAGAGGATGGACCCCCACAAATCTGCTGGTCCAGATACGTTGCACCCAAGAGTTCTGGTTGCACCCAAGAGTGCTAAAGGAGCTGGCAGACATCATAGTGCAGCCACTGGTGAGGATATTCAAGAACTTGTGGCACTCAGGTGAATTACCTGATTATTGGAAGAGGGCCAATGTGGTGCCCATCTTCAAGAAAGAGAGGAAAGAAGACCCAGGAAACTACAGGCCAATCAGTTTGACCTCAATCCCTGAGAAGATTTTGGAAAAAATCAGCAAAGAAGTGATTCTTGACAGGCTAACAGAAGGCAACATTCAGAGGGACAGCCAGCATGGGTTTGTTGTGGGTAGGTCTTCATAGATTCATAGATGTAGTGTTGGAGAGGATGTGAGCAGATCATCAAGTCTGACCCCCTGCCCTGAGTAGGAATGAA